AAGCAATATAGGTAAGCCATTTTTTCCATTAAAAAAAAAAGAGTGGGAAAGTACTCAAAGGCACATTTGTTTGTTGTAGTGCCAAAGGTACAAAGACTTCAGGATCATCCAAAGGGTAGTCGCCCAAAAGGACGCTGTGCATATCCTGTGACAACAGAGCCATAGAAGGAAAACGTCTCTGTTCAGATTGTCTCTCAGCAGCTGCAGGACCATCTCATCCAACACCGGACATTATGCAATTTATAAAGCAAGCGGTTGCCCAGGGCATCAGAGAGGTTGGCAAAGCCCACAAGCGACCCAGATATTCTGAGCCCTCTGACTTTTCTACTGGAGTACTATCTTTCCAAGTCTTATGTGGCCTCAGGCACGAGTCTTCACCCTGCCGTTGCACTCCCATCAGTTACAAGAGCAATGAAGGCTTGGCTACAAGAACTGGAAGAGGATATCAGGAGTGGCAGAAGCCGTCCCTCCATATTGGATAGCCTGAAAGATATGAGATTAGCCATTGATTTTTCATCTGAAGCAGCAGTAGATCTAGTAAGAAATCTTGCCAGAAATTTGTCTTTTACAATCTCCACCAGCTTAGGTCTTGGGCGGCCAATGCTTCTTCCAAGAATAGTTTGTGTTCCTTACCATTTCATGGGAATATGTTGTTTGGTAAGAACCTGGACGAGTGTATAAAAAAGGCTGGCGAAGGGAATAAAGCCTTTCTACCACAGGAAAGGAAATATAAAGGGTCCTTTCGTGCCCGTAGAGAATACCATTCCTTTCAGGATAGTAGATCGTACAAGCCCGGGAGAGAATATGGCAGATTTCAATCTGGGAGAGAAGCCCAATCTGGAGGAAGAGGAGGCAAGTCCCGAGGCACTTCTTCCTCCAAGGTCTCCAGGAATTTATGACTATATAATTCCCAAGTCAGAAGGAGTTGGGGCTTGTCTTCTTCAATACCCATCCATATGGGCAGAATCCACAAGCGACTGTTGGGTACTGGATATTATTCGGAGAGGATACCTTCTAGAATTTTACGAGCAACCTCCCAACAGGTCTCTTCATCTCACAAAGTGGCCAGGGGACAAAGAGAAGCACATGGCCCTACAGAACTTCCTCTTATCCCTACAAGCAGAAAAGGTTATCATAACGGTGCCAACATGCGAAAGAACTCAAGGGTTTTACTCACACATCTTCCTAACGAAAAAGTCCTCAGGAGGATGGAAACCTATTCTAGATGTGCACAGACTGAACAAGCATCTACACATTCGCAGATTCAAGATGGAATCCTTGCAGTCTATAATAAAAGTAGTGGCACCCAACCAATGGATGTTATCTATAGATCTATTAGACGCCTACTTTCACATACCCATTGCGCAGTCCCATCAAAAGTTCCTGAGGTTTGCTGTAGAGGAAGGCCACTTCTGTTTGGACTAAGTACGGCCCTGAAGTCGTTCACAAAAGTATTAGTGCTTCTGATTGCAGAGCTGAGGAAGCAGAATATCGCTATCTACCATTATTTGGACAACATCCTGATCTTAGGAAACAACAGGGATACATTAACCTCCCAAGCTATAATCAGTATTCAGTTTCTTCACGCTCACGGCTGGAAAATCAACGCCAAGAAGATCCACCTCCACTCAACCCAATCTATGATATAATTAGGAGCTCACTTCGACACTCTGATGGGTACAGTTCAACTTTCTCTGGCAAGAATTGCAAAACTCAGGAAACAATTAAGAAAAATGTTAATGTCCAGTATTGCTCCTGCAAAGGCGGTAATGAGTCTCTTCGGGTCTATGTCTTCCACAATAGGTCTGACCAGATGGGCACAGTGGAGGATGAGACCGTTCCAAGCCAATTTCCTAATGCAATTTTCCTCCAGGAATCTTCTCCAACCCATCAAGGTATAACTGGCCGTACGCCATTCTCTGATCTGGTGGCTGAGCAAAGAACACCTATCCAGGGGCTTTCCACTTCAACAGTGACAACAGATGCCAGCCAATGGGGATGGGGTGCCCATTGTCTCCATGACTTTGCGCAGGAGGAATGGAGTTCCAAAACAAGCAATGTACATTCCAATCTGCTAGAACTTCTGGCAGTTCTCAAAGCGTTGAAGCACTTCTCAGTACACCTCAAGGGTCAGTGGGTAAAGTTAAGAACAGACAACACCACGGTGGTATGCTATATCAATCATCAAGGGGGAACCAGGAGCGGCAAGATGATGGAAATTATGAAGCACCTGATGTGGTGGGTTCAGAGGAATCTGACAGGTCTTACAGCCATCCATCTACCAGGGAAACTGAATCAACTAGCAGACTTCCTCAGCAGATCCAGGATAGACCCAGGAGAATGGTGCTTATCGGACAAGGTATTCCGCACTATTGTAGAGAAGTGGGGTCTCCCGCAAGTAGACCTACTGGCAACTCGAGTCAACAGGAAAGTGGGGGATTTCTTTACGACGCTCTATCCAGTCCCTGGAGATTCAACATGGGGTATGCGTTTCCTCCATTTCCACTGATCTTCCCAATCCTGAGGAGAATGAGAACAGAGCAGGTATCTCTCATCTTGATAGCACCTGGTTGGCCTCGGAGGCCTTGGTTTCCCCTGCTCCAAAGTCTTTGTGTGGAATCTCCACTTCAGCTCCCGAGAGTTCCGAAACTACTGTTCCAGGGCCCGGTGTTGCATCCAGACCCAATTTCCCTCAATCTCATGGCATGGAGACTGAAAGGGACAGGCTTGCGAGCAGAGGCTTCTCTCAAGCAGTGATAGACACTATGCTGAAGGCACGAAAGTATTCCACTTAAGCCACCTACTATAGAGTATGGGAAGTTTTTTCCGCTTGGCTCTTCCTAAATTCATTGATATACAGAATCCCTCTACCATGGATATTTTGGAGTTCCTACAGTCTGGTCTTGATAAAGGCCTAAGTTATAACTTCACGCCCTATCCATTGAGGAGCCCTTTACGGTCTTTCACAAGGACAGAGTTATCCTCCGTACAGTTCCTGAGTTTAGACCGAAAGTCACCTCCGCCTTTCAAATCAACGAAGATATTGTTCTTCCATCTCTGAGGACCTAGTGAGATGTCTTCGAATATATATTGAAAGAACTGCCGCTTGGCGCTCTTCTCAGAGTCTCTTGGTCCTTCATAACGATGGTAGAAAAGGCATGCAGGCCCCCAAAACAACCATTAGCAGGTGGATAGTGGCGGCTATTGTACAAGCCTATCAATCTTCAGAATGTCCGGTTCCTGTGGGTCTTAAAGCCCATTCCACTAGGGCCCTCTCTTCCTCCTGGGCAGCCAAAGTCTCCCCTGAACTCATTTGTAAGGCAGCCACGTGGTCTTCAACCAATACATTCATTAGGAGTTACCAGATTGATGTCAGAGCAGGTCTATCAGATCAATTTGCTAAATCTGTTCTTTCCGTATCTGATACGTGATTTCTTTCCAAAACACCATAAAACCTGTACATAGGGGGTACTGTTTTACACGTGAGACCTCGCTGAATACAAATATGTGTATTTTATTGTAGTAAAAGCAAACAGTATTATGACATTTAAAGTTAAAATGTCACGTAGAACCAAGAAAAAAAATTTAAAATCTTATTTTCTCTCATTTTTTTATATTTTATTCATATTAAATTATGTCCCATACCTAAATATTTGATGTTAAATGAAAGCCCTGTTTCCCGTGAATAAAATTATATATAATAAGTGTGGGTACATTTAATATGAAAGAGGTAAATTATTGTTGAACAGACATATAGTAAAATTCTGTGGTTTGTTTACATTTTTTTTTTATCACAACTTGTACATTTGGCTGCAGTCTTAAGGGGTTAATAACTTTCTAAACCCCATAGTAGCCAACTCTCTGTGTTATTAAAGTTAAATTCACAGAGCAGGAGATAGCATTTTCTAAAGCAAGTTAACATCTGATTGAAAATAAAACAATTTTTTTCATGCAGGCTGTGTCAGTCACTGCAAGGTGAGGTGTGGACAGGGCTCCATAAATAGAAACAAAAGTGATTTAATGGCAGAAAATTGAGCAGTAAGACTGCAGGGGCATGATTTAGACACTAAAACTGCTTCATTAAGCTAATGTTGTTTTGGTGCCTACAGTGTCCTTTCATTGGAAGGAGAGCACTAAACACTAAGTGAAGCTAACAGGAGTTCCAGCCATGACACTTCCACACAGCCGATGATGCTGACAAGCTGTTGAGGTGTGAAATTGGTTGGCCAATAATGCCATAAAATCACCCAGGAAGAGCAGAAAATACTTAAAGGGACACTATAGTCACCTGAACAACTTTAGCTTAATGAAGCAGTTTTGGTGTATAGAACATGCCCCTGCAGCCTCACTGCTCAATCCTCTGCCATTTAGGAGTTAAATCCCTTTGTTGATGAACCCTAGTCACACCTCCCTGCATGTGACTTGCACAGCCTTCCATAAACACTTCCTGTAAAGAGAGCCCTATTTAGGCTTTCTTTATTGCAAGTTCTGTTTAATTAAGATTTTCTTATCCCCTGCTATGTTAATAGCTTGCTAGACCCTGCAAGAGCCTCCTGTATGTGATTAAAGTTCAATTTAGAGCTTGAAATACAATTATTTAAGGTAAATTACATCAGTTTTTTTTTTCATGCAGGCTCTGTCAATCATAGCCAGGGGAGGTGTGGCTAGGGCTGCATAAACAGAAACAAAGTGATTTAACTTCTAAATGACAGTGAATTGAGCAGTGAAATTGCAGGGGAATGATCTATACACTGAAACTGCTTTATTTAGGTGACTATAGTGTTATTTTTAATATACTTATAATACAAATACTTAATACTTAATATGATGACCAAGAGTCTGCGAGGTGCAATATATTAACAAAGATGTAGTATTTTCCTAATATATATTTACCATATTTTGTCTTGCACATTACGCAGTCATGGTATTTAGAATGGTGTATTTTTTTTTTTTAATTCTGTATTTTGTTCATGCAGATATTTTACATGTAGATTAGCACTGCCACATCAGCTGGTGCAAACCAGTTTGAATTCACATGGTAACAGTAGTATGGCATCAAAAACATTGCACTTTTTCTTTTTTTTATACAGGGAAATTCACAAGATTATTTTGTACGCTTTAAGATTAACTTTTGATACGTCATACGTTTGTTGCATTTTAAAGAAAAAAAGGGAAAATAAAACGAGCAAAGATTACTATTTTGGGCAGCTGTCAGCTTATGTTTAGTCAGGAGAAACAGATACACCCAGCTTAAGTAGTAAGGACATGAAGATTGATTGTAATAAACCCCTGACTGTTAGACTTAACTCGTCATTTGTAGTGTTGTGTGGTAATGAGGAGCCTTTGGTTCTATACAGTGGGTGCAAAGGGACATCCCTTTCGAGATGTATGATGTAATTAAGGTTTATCTGTGTGACGTAACATCAGTATGACTTTTCTGGCCGCATGTTAAGTACAAGTTAGAGATTGGGGAAACAGGGTGTGACAAGTGACAGGTTATGTATGCTATAATAATGATACCCTTCAGGTACATGCCTGTTATAGGGTAGAGCAACCCAGCGGTCGCTGAGAGGCAATAATACTTGACCTCATATAGCTATAAGCCCATGGGTGTAGGAGTATTACTTAGCCCATTAGAAACATATAAGCATGCTATACCGTACTCAATGTGGAGAAAAATAAAAGACAAAGTAAATTAATATAAGGGAGCATTCTAATAGGTTGCACTGAAGCTAAAATGTGGAGTCTCTCAAGGCAGGCCACGCAGCCCCCCAGGCGCCATTCTCTGTGTGCCGCAGATGACATATAGACAGTCCTGCTGGATCTTACGGACTCATTCCTGCCTCTTCTCGTGTCCGACCTGCAAGCCCTGTGAAAAGTTGGGTTGTTGCCAGTCCCATGCTCCATGTGCGCCTGTTACCTGTGCCTCCGGTTCCCCTGCCATGGATGGTCGATATCGGGATTCCCAGGTGAGATGTCATCGGGCTGTGGTTCGGGAGTTGTCGTCAGGGTGCTCTAGGCCCAAGTTGGCAGCTGCTAGGACCGGACTTTGATATGAGGGCTGGTCAGCTGAGGCAGCTCCGCTGCTTAGCAGGTTGTAGTAGCAACAATAGCCCAGGGTTAAGAGTTGGGGCTGTATGGTCCAGGAAGCCATATGAGTGCTGGTAACGCAGTCAGGCCCAGCATGTGCCATGCGGCCGCCATCTTGTTGGTCGGGCCCTGAGGTTCGTTGGCTGAGAATCTCTGCACAGATGCCCACTCAGTGTCGGCTGCCTCCAGTGGGGACCGGGATAACCCCCGCCGGTCCATGGGGGGGGGGACCAGGGCCTGTGAGGGGTATCACATAGCCGTTGGGTGATTGTCAGGCATGCAAACAGGGCAGCGGCCGTCTGCCCCGCTCCTCTCCCGAGTAGGCCGCCTTCTCCAAAGCTTTGTACCACCCAAAGGGCCCTCAAAACTCCCGATCTTGGAGTCCACGGTGTCACCAACAGCTACTTGCACCCTTGGGTACATTACACAGCTTAAGTATTCACAGTGAGTCTATAAATTTTGCTGAAAAAGCCAAGCTCAGCAGGAGCCTCTGCAGCATGCGACCGGTCAGCATGGCTGCCAGGCCCCGCCCCCAGAATGGTGTATTTTTAATAGGAGGAGTTTGATGATGTCTAGTGGTGGTACAAACACTTTTAATAACTACATTAACAGGAGATGACAATCCCTGGCAGATAAAATTGGTTCTTGACAATACAGTTTAGAAGGGGATTTTTGACAACTGTTATAAGCTCTATTGCTGTGGCACTATAAAGGAAAAGGAGGAGAAATGTGTGGGGTGCTGATATCCGACCCAGCTAGGTTAAGCCATATGTTCACAGCGAGCTTTTATTTTATTTTGGGGGCTCTGCTTTGAGAGGAGATGTCACTCAGTTCAAAATGTTATGGAGAACAATTAATTTTGTTTACACTATGAAGGAGCTATTGGCTGATATTATGGGCATCCTCCCAATCACAATAAGATATGGTATTCATGAAAGGAGTATATTTGGCCTCATTGTAGCTTACATCCCATGTCATTGTAATTTATCTACATACAGACCACGGTGGCTGCCTAGTGTGCCCCTGTCTGTGACTGGAGCTCTGAATCTGAGCAGACCCACCTCAAAAGACCCAAACTCAAAAGGTCTCCCTATAATGTGCCTCCTCCCTATCTCCAGTGAGCATTGGGGTCTGTACCAATATCAGGTACATTAGACTGTACCTGATTTTGGTGCAAACAATGGAGCTCCCCCAGGACCACCAGGAATCCAGCTCGCCTGCCACTGGACTGCTAGGGATCCTGTTCACACTCTACTGGAAAGCCAGAAACCCTGCTTACACTCCAATGGACCACCAGGGACCCTGCTCCTTCAATGGGAGGAGGGGAAACGAATTCACACACAGCACATTCAACCTACACACAGATACACTCAGCCTCCCCCCATACTGCAACCTCCTCCACACTCACAACAATCAGTCACTACACACACTTTTTTACACAGACAACACTAAGTCAACAAGCACAATACTCATAGGGCTCTTTTGCTTCTGTAAGTGTGTCTCTGTTTGTTTTATATTTGGTCTATAGACCTGATTTTTGCTGAGTTATGTTTTTTATATTATTTTCTATGAATTTGTGACCAAACTGATGTTTATGGTGATAAATATTAAGAAACAAAAAAGTAAAGAGTGAGGGAGCAGTTTGGGATTTTTGACACGAGCTTTAGAGATTATCTAGATTCGGCCACTCACATTTAATATGAGAGGTATACGTACGGTAATTAAACTCATATTGTGCCATTTCATAATTACTGTAACAATTATACACCTGCCGTGATATGTAGCCCCATGTAGCCAAAGCGCAGCCTAGCGGAAAAGGGCCTTGACAGGGGTTAGGAGGCGGGCTTAGGAGGAAGCGGCTAGGACTAGTGGGTTGTGGGTAGGGGGTTTGGCTATTTAAATAAGAAGCCATTTTGGATTCAGTCACTTTTAATTACCTACCTGGCTGAGTTTGTCCCACCCACCCTCCCTGGGATTTTGTTGGTTAAGTGGGTTATCCCGTTTTGTCACAGCGGCAGGATAGGAAGCTGAAGGAGAGGAAATAGTCTCCCCATTAGGAAGATTGATGGAAATTGAAAAATTGTGGTGATTGGTAAGTTGGTAGGTTTCGAGTCCTCTCGGTGGCTCTGGACCTGGTGGGGTAGGGGTATCCGGGTATACCCCTGCCATGGTTAAAGTATGTTTGGTGTGGGTAGGGGTATCCGGGTATACCCCTGCCATGGTTAAAGTATGTTTGGTGTGGGTAGGGGTATCCGGGTATACCCCTGCCATGGTTAATTATGTTTGACACTTTAAGTTATGTTCATGTTGAAATGAAGTTGGAAGAATGTTTTATATATATATATATATATATATATTATGTGTTATTTATATGGGGGCGTTTGCCTTGTATATTAACTGAAGGATACGGATGAGAGGGCGAGGTATGGGGCAATAACCCATGTTTTCTATGTTAAGTTATTATTATTATTATTATAGTAGTATGGTTATTATCATTATATATATTATAATTATTTAATAAAAGCTGTGGACATTTTGACCCATATACCCTTGTGTCAGTGTTTTATTGGGGAAGGTATGTGGGGTTTTTTTGTCCAAGGTTCCGACTGCCCATATGGCTACTATACTGCATAGTGTCCCTTTGAATGCTCAGCCAGCTTTTCAGAATATATGTCACAGAAGCACTGCATTACGTTGTAGTGGGTCTGTTGACTATAGTGTTCCTTTAATTACTCTGTAGCCAGCCATGGAATTTATACAAGGTTATTTTTGTTGTACCAATGAACTATCCAGTTAACATTGCAACACATAAATTTGGGGAGTTTTGCTTCATAACACTTCAAATAACAAATACATGCTATTTAGCAGTTTATCAACAACACATTACATTCCGTGTCAGGGTGGAAACAACCACAGCTAAGAAAATGGCATCCCATCCTTGCCAAACTCAAACAAATGATTACTAAGATGACATATCCCATAACAAACCATAAATAAGTCAACAAGTGCCGGCCATTTAGATTGTGGGTGTGGACATGCCCTCCCTGATGGATCAGAACAAATTTATTAAAGAAATACCTTCTGGACCGCAAATTCTGGGAAAAGATCCTGTTCAGAGCAATGACTCTCCTTGTGTATCTTCCCAGGTTGTGAGCAGACACGAACTCAGGTCTAGGTGACATTATCAGAATACACGATACAGTGTAAGCTAAGACTGAGGAACACCACGACACAAGACAAAGATGCAACATTATACCATGGTCGAGGATACAAACAAGCAAGCAGTAGTAGACTGAGGTTAGAGGCCACAAAGCCAAGGATGAATCACATTTGTGGTAGGATACCTTGAATTGACTCAATGGTCCAGCACCGATTGCAGTTAGGGATGAAATTTATAAGCAGTCTACACACCAGATAGGCAGCAGGTGATGTATGTTAGCAATCACTGGACAAAGAGACGAGGAGATAAGAATGCCTGATTAGGGAATATTTGGGATAAAGTTAACTTGGGATAAAGTTAAATTATACACCGGGTTGAGACCTGTGAGCTCTCAGGCACAAACCCTCTTAAATCCTGAAGTATACTGCTACTCTGCACCCTTAATGAAATCCTTGAAACATCATTATCTAATGCAAGAGCGCAGCAAAAAGTCTCCGGTTATTTCTCAGTATGTACCATTGGGAAATAAATATAAAAGAAACAAATTAAAACCAACATGGCTTAGTAGAGAAGTAAAACAAGAGATTACAACTAAGAGAAGGGCATTTAAAGCATTTAAATCGGACAAATCAGATGCATCTTATAAAAGATATAAGGATGCAAATAATGCGTGCAAAAAGGCAATTAGACTTGCTAAACTTCAAAATGAAATAATGATAGCTGAAGAGAGCAAAACCAACCCCAAAGCATTTTTAAGTACATAAATTCTAAAAAAAAAACAAAATGAAAGTGTAGGTACACTAAAAACTGAAACGGGGGTGTTAATTAATGAAGACCAGGAAAAGGCAGGAATTTTAAATAACTTTTTCTCCTCCGTATATATTAAGGAAGAACCCATGGCAATAGATGTGCAAATGATTGCTACTAAAAACTTGCAGAATAATTGTAATTGGTTAACTCAAGACAAGGTGCTGCAGCAACTAAAGAAAGT